CACGGTGTTTCTCACCTCCCTGCGTTGTGAGTTGCTTCCAGTAGGCTGATGAGTCTCACATAACCGAGGGGGGGGGATCTCGGGTAGCGTGTCTTTCCGTGGTGGACGGTCACCCATCCAAGTACTAACCATGCTCGACGTTAACTTTGATAACCTATTGCAAGCGCCTTAGCGCGTACGGCTACTTCGGCCCCTATATATATATATATATATATAGATAGATAGATAGATAGATAGAAAGTAAACTTTATTCTGGGACAAGGTCCCTTATGAATAACAGATATGAACAAAAAAATTAAAACTACATCTGGCCAAAAATTACATTAATCAATATTAAAGAATATATACAGTATCTTCAGTGAAATTAAATTAAAACAAGTAAAAATAAAATAAAATTTTGAGAAAAAACGAAATAAAAAAAACAACATTATTTAAATGAAAATAAAAATAAAAAAAAATAAGCATGGGTTGATTTTTAAAATTAAGACAATAAATTTTATCAATCATTCACCTCAGTCAAAATCTGTTTCACAATATTTATTTTATTGTATAACGTCATTTTGGGATGTGAGAAGGAATTGGTAAAGATGATATTTAAATGAGGACAAGGAAGAGGCATGACGGATTTCAGATGGCAAGGAATTCCAGAAGGCTGTGGATCGGGAAATAAAGGAATATTCAAACGTCTTAGTTCTATGGGAAGGGATATATAGGTCGGAAACACGGGATCTTGTTTTCTGGGAGTGGACCTCGGGTTTAAACTGTAGGAGACTGTAGATGTAAGAAGGGTGTCTAGTGTTGATTGTTTGGAATAGGAAAGATCCGAGGAAATATTGTCTGCGGAAAGAAGGGAAGAGCCACTTTAACTCGTCGTAAAGGTGGGACACATGAGATCGCTTTGATGTACCGAAGACAAATCTTAAGCACGTATTCATGAGTCGCTTCAATCTATCCTCGAGTACCATCGGGATGCCTCCGTACACCACACAGCCGTAGTCAAAGTGGGGGAAAATGAGAGAGGATACAAGGAGCTTGCGGATGGGTTGTGGGAGTAGGTGGCGGGAGCGATGAAATAGCTTAAGGGTACCTATTGACTTACGGGAGATGAGGGCAATATGGGGTTTCCAGGAGAGGTTTTCGTCTATGGTGATTCCTAGGTTTTTAACGGATGAACTGAATGTGACAGGATGATCGTTGATGACTAAAGGAGGAAGGAAGGAGATGGATTTAAGAATAGGACTGGAACCTATAATAATGGCCTGAGTTTTCATCGCATTTAGATTTAAATTATTCAGACTTGCCCAGGCACTGATCCTATCTAGGTCAGCCTGAATATTGGCGAACGCGACTAGTAGCTCAGAAGGATGAAAGGAAAAATATATTTGGGTGTCATCAGCGTATAAATGATGTGAACAGTGGTAGATGGATTTGGAAAGATCATTTATGTAGGAGTTGAAAAGGAGAGGGGAAATGCTCGAACCCTGGGCCACTCCAGAGGACAGTGTAAGAAAGGAAGATAGGGGTTGGTTTGGAATGCTGACTGCTTGAGTTCTGTCGGATAGGAAAGACTGTAACCAGAGGATAGAGCTGTTGGAGAAGGATAGAGATTTTAATTTAGTATAGAGTATAGAGTGGTCTAAGGAGTCAAAAGCTTTGGAAAAGTCGAGAAGTATCAATACAGTTAACATTTTTTCGTCCATTGCGGTATGTAAGTCATTGGTAATTTTTAGTAGGGCGGATTGTGTGGAGAAGCCAGATCGGAAACCAGATTGGAGAGGATCGAGTAGTTTTGAGTTTTCAAGGAATTTAGAGATTTGGGATTGAGCTATTCTTTCCAGAGGTTTAGAAAGGTTAGAAAGAATGGAGATTGGGCGGTAGTCTTTAGGAGAGGTAGGATTGGGAATTTTGTTGATAGGTCTGACTAATGCTTTTTTCCAAGCAGTTGGAAAAACTGAGTTCTGGAGGGAAAAATTATAGATGAAAAGGAGAACTGGAACGACTTCGGGAAGGCATAATTTTAATAGTTTGACTGGTATCCCATCAAGTCCGATGGAGTTTGTGTGTGATTTCATTATAGAGGAAATAAGGTCGGTCGGTGAGATGTTGGAGAAATAGAAATTACCTCTGTTAAATGAGGGTGATAAGGAAAACTGGTGAGAGGTGGGTGAACTGTTGCTGGTGGTGGAAGATATAAAGTAGGAATTTAGTTCATCGGGTGATACCGGGTAGAACGGTGAGGAAGAGGATTTACAAAGAGAGAGTTTACGAAGGGTTAGCCATATTGATTTAGAATCAGGAGCAGAAGCGAGAGTTTCGTGAAAGAAGTTTGATTTCGCTTTCCTGATCGTTGTTTGTGTCAAGTTACGGAGTACCCTATAGACTTGATAGTCATCTGCTAGTCGAGTTCGTCTGAAGCGTCTACGGGCTGCCTCACGTCTCTTTTGCATGTCGCGGATTTCTTGACACATCCAAGGAGCAGGTTGGCGACGGAAGGTTGAGGTTTTGATAGGAGCATGTATGTCAAGAATATGGATAAGATTAGAAGTGAGGATGTCTACCATATGATCAATAGAGGTACAGGAATAAATATCGTTCCAGTTTAGGGTTTCAAGGTCCGGTAGGATTTTATCACGGGTGAGGTTGTCAAGATTGCGGAAAGTTATGGTTTTAGGAAGGAACGTGGGAGTTTGGATATCGTACGATAATTTGATGAGATCATGAGAAGAAAGGAAAGGAACGGGTAATTGAGAACAGGACAAGAGTTTCTGCTCTGAATCGATGATATGCAAGTCCAGCCAGGTGTCAGACCAACAAGTATGGTGTGTAGGAGCGAAAGGAACAATAAAAAGGTTGAGGGAGAAGAAGAGATTTTCCAAATAGCGTTTGTTGTTGGATTCTGTGAGGAGGTTGGTATTAAGATCACCGGAAATTATAATGTTATTATAGAAAGGGACATAATTGTACAAGGTTGATTCGAAGGATGAGTCAAAAGGAGTCAAAGGAGGGCGATATACGACCACATAAAGGAGAGGATGTGCTTTACAAGAAATTTCAGCGAAGAGGAATTCAATGTGAGGATGATTGGAAGGGGATGAAATATCTAGAATACGGGGTTTCAGGCTATTATGAACATAGAGACCAACACCTCCGCCAGTCCGGGAAACCCGGTCATGACGGATGAAGGTATAATCAGGTAAGGAAACGGAAGAGGAAGGGATATAGGGCTTAAGCCATGTTTCAGAGACTGCAATAATGTGGTAGAAGTTACAGGTGAAATATTGGAGAAATTCGTCATAGTGAGCAGGAAGGGATTGAGAATTAACATGGCAAGTAGTTAAGACGCTAGACATAACGGAAAGGAGAAAAGTATACATATGATGGATGGCGCTGTAGGTAAGAAAAAACTGTGAAAATCAATTTGGAAAGAAGTAAATAATGGCTGTAAGAGAAGAAAAAAAATACAAACAAAATAGAGTTAGGTTCAAAAATATGAAAGAGGAAAAAACAAAAAATTACATTGGTTAAAATAGAGAAACAATAATAACAATAGTAGTAGATGGGCAACCCAGCACGATGCTGTATTATACAATAGAAGATTGGAAGTTTACGGATGCATTCTGTAGGTTGACGTAAATCAGAAGGTCAGCAGAAAACATCTAGATCATCTGGTTGGTCGATGTATATCACGGGATGGCCATCTCCTTTTCTGCAGCGCAATCTACCCGCCGAAAACCACACGTATTTTAGTTTACCAGCCGCTCTCTTCTGACGTGCGAGCCAATACAATCTTCTATTAGCAGGGGTCATTTCTTCACCAAGGTATATCCGGTGGGAGTCGTTTTCCTGCCAGCCGATGTCTCGAGTTGAGAAGTCCCTTTTGACCTTTCTTCTTTGGACCAGCTCGTCTCGTACTGCCTGCCTCACAAAGCGAGCTATAACTGGTGGTGGTCTAGGGTCGTCTTTTTTAGGTCTACGGCGCTCCACAAAATCGATGTCCTCGATGTTAATCTTAACACCGAGACCAGCTCCCACACTGGCAACTAGCGCCGAAGGAGTCTCTCCTGCACGTACCGGAATGCCTCGGATCTCAACCGATCTACAGAGTAGGCCCTGCTCGGCTCTGTTTAATCGTACCTCGAGTTCCCCCACTCTGGATTTCAGCGTTTTATTTTCCGTAGTCAATTCCTCCAGATGTTTGGCTCTCAGCTTGGCTCTCTAGATGATTTTCTATTTTTGCAAACCTTTCATTCAACTCGAAGCTGAGTTCCCCGTATTTTTCTAATGACGACTTAATATTTTTAATGTCTTCATTGACTTGGGCGCTAAGTCGATTAACCGCTCCGAGAATATCAGTTGCGGACGGCTCCTTGATTTCACTTCTTGGTGGACTGGCTGATTTTTCCCTAATTTGGTATGTCTTTTTGCCTTGGTCACATTTTTTACAAAGCCATTCCTTTTTTTGAGATTTTAATGTCTCGATCTCTTTATCACCCAGTTTGCAGCATTTACCGTGAAAGATAACCTGACATTTATTGCAGCTTATATTAGTTTTGTCATCTCTAGAGATGGCACTATCACAAATAGAGCACTGAACCATTTTCGTGATAATATAATAATATTTACTCACGCTAGAAGAGTGTTTGTCAATAGATGCGTGTTGTTGGTCCTTAATACTCAAGAGCTTAGAAGGATTAATAGTCGCTTCTCAATCCACAGCTAGTGAAACACGACCTTTATCTTTAATAATTGACTAAAAAAATAAATAAATAAATAAATGAAGAACGTAAATAAACTCGCTTGACCGTGATGAAAAAAAAAACACAACATATATATATAAAAATTAAGAAGAAATAACAGAGGGTACGAATGTTAGAGAGAAAAAACTATAGGAACGAAGTGAACTGCTTGCCGTCTCTGGCCAGACTATATGTATATATGTTTGTTAAAAAAAATCAAATTAAATCATTAACATTTCGAAGTAGTGACTAGTGTAGGCTTACCTATCAAGCATGCCTGTGCCATCGTTGATAATGGTCCAGTTTTTTTCGTTGCATTGATATAACAGAACGCACTTGCATTCCTGTCCATCTGCAACACAACAATTAACTATAACACTTTCCATTAGACTTGCGTTGTTATCGTGCATTTAGTCTCAAAATATTGTTATATGAAACAGATCGAAAATTCGGTACCATTGGTGTTCCACACTCCTCTAATAAAAGATGATCCACGCTATGCCTGAGCATTATCTATTCTTAGTAGTATTATATAATAATGATAACATCCGCCATGATGTTTGTTATAACAAAATTCTGAAATGGTGATATCTCGTTTAAAAAAAACGAAAAACTAATGTTTGATAGACCATTTCTCTCGTTAAGTTATTTACAAAGAAGGTTGATCTCACCTTTGATTTTGTGTGTAGTTTTTGAGTTAGGAGGTAACCTCTTGCTCCCGCAACTAGCTCCCTCAGTGACGATGGGTTTCTGGAGGACACCTTGGTCAGAACTCAATTCTGTATTGTTATTCGTTGTACTACAGCAAACCTGGGTCCCAGGGCATGGGTTTAATGACCTGACAAAAATAATAATGAAGGTAAGATGTGTAACATAAACCGATATTTGTTACAACTAGTTTTCACCAAATGGTCTCAAATCGACCATAATCATCATTGAACATTTGAAGAAAACAAATGATTTGGATGTTTCCAACTTTTTATTCAAGTCTATACGAAAATACAATAAAATAAATACAATCTTTTTCGACATGATTCTTTCCAATTTTTTTTTTATTTTTTTTTTATTTTTTTTTTTTTTAGAAAAAAAAACTTTATTCTGGGACTAAGTCCCTTCAGAATAACAATAATGTACAAAATAATAGAATATTACTGGCCTGAACGTTGAAACAATAAATAAAATTGATAAAATAAAATAAAAAGTAAAGAAAACCTTAGGTGCACAAGCTATATACAAACAGATAAAACTATGTACAGATCATTTAAAATTATGAACAAAACAATTAAAACTATGAACGAATCACTTGAACTATGAACAAAATTATATTTAAGGGTTGAACAACATAAACATACACTTTGAGAAATGAAGAACGAAAAAGAGATACAATGAGTACATTTCATAAAAAAAACAAAAAAAAAACTTGAATATATATATAAAAATAAACAGTTACTTATAATTGAATAAAAAAAATATATATAAAAAAATGAATGTATTGAAATTCCTACGTCGATAGTAGGAAATGCATGTACTATCTCTTACCAATTGTTATGATTATATGATTGCTACACAATACATATATAATATCAATAGTTAGCTGGTATCAGACTGTTTATGGAACAGGAATTGGAATAGGAGGTTTTTGAATGTATACAGGGAAGGGGCATGTCGAATTTTGATCGGGAGGGAATTCCAAAAGTTGACAGAGCGGGCTATAAAGGAATTTTGGAATGAGGCAGATCTATGAGACTATTTCTCATGCAGATCTATTTTGCAGGGAATTCACGAAGCTTTTTAATATCCGTAGGATTTATGAACCGAAAATTGTTTATTTTTTGAGTTATTCGCGAATTAAATTTTAATCCAATGTTACTTTTTTTCAGCCAATATTCTGAGAAGTGTTTTACACATAAATGAAAAGGGAATCAAGGACAAGGCTCATTCAAATCGTTACACCGTTCTGACGCTACAGTAAATAGCGACACACGTATTTCGGCCCCATTTCAAAGACAAGGGCCGGATGGTAATGACATGAATATAACAACACTTCTGAATTTGGTTGAAGAGTTGTATCAAAATTTCAAAGAAATCGGTGAAGAACATTCGAAGATTAGTGGTTTTGAAAAACTAACATTATATTTAAATACATAATATAACATTAAAGCTCGTCAATAACTACTAAAGAAAATCGGTTGAGAAACAGTGGGGAAAACGGGATTTAACTGTTTTGCCTTTGCCTATTTATATAATGATAATGAATAGTCTGTTGACAATTCGTTTTATATTCGCATGTTAAATATTTAAACATTTAGATTATATTAGAACTATAGATGTTTTATACTTTTGTACGATTTTCATTTTTTTTTCTTTTTTCAGAGTATGACAAGATTATATTATAAGCATTCAGTCCAATTACTTGCTATAGAATAGCGATTTCCTAATGAATCTCTTTTATTTCATTAGACAATTTTGTAGATGGAAATCTTCCATTGTTAATGAAGAATTTCAATGAAAACATGAAAAATCAAGCGGCTGGAATTTTTGTCTGTCAGTGTATTATGGCAACAACCTAATTTTTAAGCAGTGGACTGTATCTCAAGGGATTGGTAGCTTATGATTGTGCAAAAAAATAGCTTACCGTCTATATGGCAGTCTATATGCCATTTGTTTATGTGCTATAATTATGTTGTTCATTGTTACTTTATTGATGAATATGGGCAGATCAAGTCCTTTCAGGAAGGTTTTTTTAAAATTACATTTAAATGTTTAACTAAGGCAGTGGATCAACTGATGCGAAGATTGTGTTCTCAAATCGTCTTTCAGTTTTTGCCTATTTTTCAGCGGAATCTCTCCGATTATTCACGTAAAACTACTCCAGCACTTACTAGACAAACGCTCTAAGCTCCCAGTCAATTACAAAAGACTCATATACATGACTACAATAAGACCTATTTGGACTTACGGAATTGAGCTCTGGGGCTCCACTAAGCCATCGAATTCCTCTCGCATCCAATCCTTACAATCCAAAATCCTTCGTAAAATCCTCACAGCTTCTTACTTTGTCACAAACAAAATCATCCATAACGACCTTAATGTTCCTTATGTTTCTGACCTGGCCCAATCCAGATACCTTTCATTCCATAATAAACTTCAGAACCGTCCTAACCCTCTCGTTTCTAACCTTGCTTCTTTTCGATACCTGACAACCCTCCGAGGCGTCTGAAAAGAATATGGCCTCGAGATCTCCTTTTGTAAATACATTTTTAGAATGCTACCAGTGGCTAGTTTCTCACCAAATGATTTCATGCTATTATATTCTATTTTACACATTTACTGAATGTATTTTTACTTGTAATACAGTTGTAAATATCATCAATAAATAAATTAAAAAAAAATTTAGTTATTGTTTATTATTCCCGGGGGCGAACACTGCTATCTGCACTTAATTCCCATCGCAGCAACATCCTTTCACCTAATACTCCCACATACTGGCCAACAGATCCCAACCGCAATCCCGACCTTCTAGACTTTTCCCTACACAAAGGTCTAGGATCATTACACTGTTCCATTTCAAGGCTTGATGATCTTTCCTCAGACCATAGTCCTATAGTCCTAACTGTTTCCACATCACCCATTCCTAAATCATCCCCTCCTTCATTTATCAGGGGACCAGTTAACTGGAACCTTTTCCGTCAAATATTGGATGATAATATAGACCTCAGAGTTTCCTTAAAAACACCTGAAGACCTTGACGATGCAGTGGACTCCTTCACTACCCTGATCCAGGAAGCAGTTTGGACTGCATCCTCACCTGATCGTCCCAAAAAACATCTCTGTATAAATCCTCTATCCCAAGACCTAGTGGACCTTATCCATAGCAAACGATGCTCTAGGGCCCTCTGGCAAAGAACCAGGCATCCTGATGACCGGAAATCGTATAATTATTATTCCAAACAGCTGAAAAAGAAACTGGATATCTTTAGAACCCAATCCTACAATTCCTACCTTTCCTCATTATCATCTAGAGATAACTCCCTCTGGACTGTAACTAAAAAAATCCTTAAATTCCAATCCATTTCCCACCCCCTCCGCCGTGATGATGGTTCCTGGGCTTCGTCAGATGCGAATAGAGCTGAAGAATTTGCTAAACATCTATCCTACACATTCATTCCCCATCCCGAATTCCATCCCACCCACACTGCTGAAGTTAAAGAATTCCTCTCTCCACCAATTCCTCTCTCTCTCTACCTCCAAAACCTGTTAACCCCTCTGAGGTAAAATTCTTCATAAACAAATTAAAACACCGAAAATTCCCTGAATATGATCTCCTCACTTCACAAATCCTTAGGCAACTTCCCAAAAAATCAATTATATTCCTGACCTATTTATATAATTGCATCCTTCGTACTACCAACTTTCCCTTGATGTGGAAACACTCCATAATCGTGCTGTTTCCAAAACCAGGCAAACCCGTCAATAACACATCATCCTACAGACCGATAAGTTTACTCCCTAATCTCTCAAAAATCTTTGAGAAAATCCTCCTCAAACGCATCCTACCCATACTCGAATCCCACAACATCCCTTCTCATCAATTTGGATTCCGCTCAAGACATTCCACTGTCCAACAAGGCCTTCGTATTGTGGACCATATATCCTCTGCACTTGAAAACAAGCAATATTGCACTGGTGCCTTTCTGGACGTAGCGCAAGCTTTCGACTGGGTGTGGCACGATGGCTTGCTTTTCAATTTACCCCCATCATTATATCTAGTCCTCAAATCCTATTTCTCAAATCGTTCCTTCCAAGTCCGTTGCTACACCGAATTCTCCACTTACTTTTTTTTTATTTATTTTTTTTTTTTTTGGGTCCTTCCCTTCCTCGCCGTTAAAGCTATACGGGATTTTCCCGGGCCAGGGAGTGTGGGCAGGGATTTAAAAGACTCCCCCGGCACCCGGACACGAACTCGTGACTATTTTTATATCTTTGTATTCATATATCAGGTTGCCAAGCAACGGCGGTGCAGTGCACACGCTTTAGCCCATTCGGCTACCCCGCCCACTCAATTCTCCACTTACTATCCAGTTGAGGCTGGTGTTCCATAAGGCAGTGTTTTGGGTCCAGTTCTCTACATCCTTTTTACTGCCGATATCCCTTCAAATCCCGATACCTTCCTAGCTACATTTGCTGATGATACTGCCATTCTATCCTCCCACTCAGATCCTCAAATAGCATCTCAAAACCTACAATCTCACCTCTCCTTGATTGAGCAGTGGTGCAACAACTGGCGCATCAAAATCAATGAAGCAAAATGCAAACATATTACTTTCACCCTGTGACGCAGATCCTGTCCCACAATCATTTTCAATTCAATACCACTTCCTACTCAGATACAGTCCGTTACCTTGGCTTCCTTCTAGACAAAAGACTAACTTGGAACCCACATAAGGGACTTAAAAGACAAGAACTTAACCAACGATATGGCCAGCTATATAGACTACGAAGCAGGACATCTCATCTTTCGATTGAAAATAAACTTTTAATCTACAAACAATATTGAAACCTATCTGGACCTACGGACTTGAACTGTGGGGAACCGCTAAACATTCGAATATCAAACGCATCCAATCCTTCCAGTCCAAAGTACTTAGAACAATAGCCAATGCCCCATATTATGTCACAAATAAGACCCTACACCATGATCTTAACATCCCATTTGTCCTCGACATCATCCCATCCAGATTTTCAAACTTTCACCAGAACCTTATCAATCATCCAAATCCTCTAGCCCAATCCCTATCCAGCTCCCACCATCCCTACAATCCCCCTCGAAGGTTAAAACGGCAGTGGCCGCGAGATCTATTGTAAATATGCTTCTGGAGTCCTGGCAATGGCCAGCTTCTCAACTCAAGTCCTGAGTATCTGTGGCTCTAGTGCCCTCCTTCAGCCTCCTCTGGCTTTTAATACTAGTGATGCGGCTGGAAAAGTGGCACTGGGATCTCTGGAGTCCTGCTTTGCTTTCCACATGTGGGGAGAAAAGCCTGGCTCGGAGATTCCTGGGCGAATGTATATATTGTATATAGGTATGAATGTGTTTAGAAGTTTTTATTTTATTTTGTTTATTTATTTTTTTATTTTATTTATTTTTTTATTTTTTCCTATTGATTTACATTTTTTTTATAAGTATTATTTATTTACTTTTTATATTTATAGTTACTTCTGTATTACTTGTATATACTGTATTAATGAGAACTTTTAGCCTTAATACTTATAGCCCTCCAACAGTGGCTGATTATTATTCAATAGAAAAAAAAAAAAAAAAAAAAAGTTATTGTTTATTAGAATCTTTCATTTTGACCAGTCTATATATAGTACTTATTCAATAGTTTTATTCTATTTAAGACAATTGTTTAAAATATAAATAACAATAATGTTTGATTATTCAGGGTTAAAATTGATGAAAAAATGACCAACCTATCAGGCATCATTTAATTAGAAATGTTTAACATATCATTATTATACTAACGTCTGGTGATTAATCCTTTATTTCATGCAATGTCGTTTTTATTTCTAAAATTTATCTATAAATAATTAGATATAATGTTAAATTTCTAAGAATTTATAAATTAAGAATATTTAGAAAAAAGAAAGAAAATTTTGTTTTATTTTTTGTTGAAGTCTGTTTCAAATAAAATATTGCAATGAAAATTAAAAAAAAATGTTGAAAATGGTTGAATCTTGAAAATGGCTAGAGGGGCTTAAACGTTGACAGAAAAAAAAAATGAAAACGTATGTTATTGGTGACCTTTTGCCTAATAATTTTTAAATAAAAACATTAAAAAATGGAAACGAACCTAAAAAATATGATAAGAAAATTAAATTTGTGTTGTTACAAATGAAAGAATTTTCACGGTAAATATTAACGAGGATAGAGTACCACCAATAAACGTAGTGGTAGTCAAAGTCAAAAATAAAAAAAAAATAAATTAAATTAAATTAAATTAAAAAAAAACAAAAAAAGAAAAGGAAGAAAAATGAGGCACCATATTTTGTAGGAAAACATTGTAATAGTGATCAATGTTTTTACAGAGATATTAATATATGTATCAATTTTAGTTTTATTCTAGCATCAAATTAATTTATTAATTATATCGAAGTAGATTAGTATACCCTTACCTCACATCCAACTGGCCGATGCCACTGCTTTGAATCGCCTCTTGTTTCGGTTTCTTCTCGTTGCATTCAGAGCTCTCAACGCACTCGCATTTCGGATTGTCTGCAAGACAAAACACTAAGAATTGGCAGATGTAGAAATTAATACCGATACCAATATTTTAAGGCCGATATGACGATATATCGAACTGGCAGCTATGTCAGCTATGACGATAGATTGAACTATAAACAAATTTTATTCGATAAATAGTTTATGCTTTTTGTGTTACTCTCAATAACGTTTCTGTTCCTTTTGCCTGAATTTTCGGAGTGATGTGACTATTATTCCACCTGAAGGAGAAGGAAATTTAAAAAACAATGGTTCAATCTTTAGATTTGATGAAGGATGGGGTACGGAAAAAAAAAATCTTTGATTACTAATATGAACTCCTTTCTCGATCAAGTCGATGATATGATACATGTATCCCATTTTAGCACTACGATTAACATGCAGTTGTGTCGCTGCGAACCATTTGCCTTGCATTATCCCGAAAACGGTACATTTTTGGGCTTTGAAACGCAGAGCTCGTTAGTTTTGAAGGAAATAACCGAGTCTTGATGTCCTTCATCAAAATCTTGAAATCCCAATTTGTTCCGTCTCGATCCACCGACTTATCAAGGTTCCAGTATTGAAGAATTGATATATGTATAGATATATACATATATCTATATATCTATATCTACAGAATATATATATATATATATATATATATATAAACCGATATATTGCAATTTATATTATTAATGCATTATTACCTTATTTTATCCAGATCGGTAGAGTTTCACTTGGAATATTATTGTTATAGCTAATAAATGCCTTATTGGTATAAAGAGAAATTAATACACTAACACAGGATTACTAAAAAAAATAATGAATGAATAAGTGTACTAAAAACCGTTGTCACTCGTAAATCCTATCGTATTGTCATAGATATATTGAAGAGAAGTTGACTGAACACCCCAACCAACTTCTCTTCAAATAAAAAGTAGTGATGAGAACTTTTATTTTTCACAACAAAAAAACTGAACCTGTGATGGGTCAATCTAGTATTATACTACCGACGCTCTCTACTCCAGAATAGATTAATTAATCAATTAATAATTATATTAATAAATTTTAATTTTTAAAACATTTTTATTATCTCAATAAAGCACTGTGTCACAAGTACTGTATGACTTGTTAAGCTGTTTGCATACCAGTAACATTAAAGTACTATAACAACTGGCTTATGACTAGTTAAGTTATGTGCCAGTAACATTAGAGTACTGCTTCGCCACTGATTTATGGTTTGTTAAGCTGCTTACCAGTAACACTGACTCCGGGAGTACGCGTCGCTGGTTGTTTGGTCGGGACAGTATTTTTGTGCAGTTTGCAGCAAACCTTTTTATCGGGGCATTTTTTCCCTCTGAAAAAAAAATAATGAATGAAACATTTGAATCATAAACTGGTAGTAAATACAGTGATGTAGAATAAAATGGTTGTTTGTTTATTTGGGCTTTGAGGCATAAAATCCTAGTGCCATCAAAGCCTATTTGTTCTTTATTTTTGTTCTTTGGAGCTCAGAACCTCTTTAGAAGAAAAAAAATAGCAATAGAAAAACTAAAATAAATAAATAAAGTAAAAAATTGAAAAATAATTTTTTTTTTTTTTTATTAAACTCCTCTGCCGTCGGCTATTAGGCCATTCGGCTCCTGGCAGCCCAATACAACTCCACCATGAATCCTTTTCCATAGATCTAACTGTACAGCCTCCAATTTATCATTCTCTTCCATCTTCTTTTTAATTGAAAAGGTTACCTTGAGGGATGATTTAGCAGCGACAATTATTCCTGATGCAACCTGCCTGGATCTCTGCAGTTTATAAGTTTGATATCCCGGTAATTGGTAGAACTGGATATTTTCAGTGGATGAGCCGGCTTCTACGATCCCATATAAATCAGCATCCTCCTTTGTAATAATCGTCTTCCATTCTGTGAATTTGTCAGCAGTTAGGCCACCAGCGTTCCTGAACATAGCCTTAAGCTGTGTGTTGACTGGGCCTTTTGGTTTCCTTAATTTTGATGGATTCATATTTTTGTGGATTCTATGATGTTGAACTGTCTTCGCGGCGACAATATTGCTCATTTAGTTATAACCGGAGGGCACGTGTACAATGTACGGACGCGAGCAAAGTTACCCAATTTTTATTAAAGCTTTTTAGTTTAAAGTTTTAACAGCTGTTCCAAAAAAAAAAAAATGTTTTGTTAAATAATCTATGGATTTTAAGGAAGTTTATAACAGTTGTTATTTTGATTGACCATTATTTAATATCATTTAAATATCCGGTCTAAGTGATAATCTATTTAAACTTGTGGTGTAATAGGGACATTTCTGAAAAATATGGCGAGGGTTATTGCAGTATTGCCATGTTGGAGGTGGTTGTTACAGTATAAATAAAAAAGTATTAATGAGTCAAATTTGTATGACCTAATCTCAACCTAGTCAAGGCGACTTCTTCACTGCTATTAGAATAGTTTGGTGTGGTCCAGGGCTTTATTGATTTTCTTATTACTTTGAACTTCCTTAGGATTTACGAGATAAACAAAAGAAGGGGTATATCGACTTCAAAGCAGAGACTGAGAATGGGGCTTGTCCGAAATGAGCCAGTCGCGACCATATTGCCTGTATGATGGACTGCATCAAGTTTATTCAGGGTCCAATAACAAGTAGAACCGTATACAAAGCACCCATAATCTAATTTGAAGCTTAAGTGCGATACAGTTTTAGAAATGTAAGTCTGTCTGAGCCCCAGGTAGATACTTATACTGCTCAGATATCTTAATGAAGCCAATCTTTTCCAAATCAAAATAAAAAAATCATATTATTTACATACATACATATTATAAATATATATATATATATATATATATATATATATATATATATATATATATATATATACAACACAATAAGTCATAATAATGGTTACATGCATATGACAATATTACCTTACATATTTTATAATAAAGTGGTGTAATTGATATTTTTTAAGCTGAACTTTATATTGTAAAGTAGGAAAAATCCAAATAAAAACCTACATAAATTATAAAACTGAATAATAAAAAAAAAGGAGTTATATAATAATAATAATGCTTTATTTATTCTGGGACGAGTCCCTTTAGAATAATATAAAAAGACAATAATGTGGGCTAAGGAGCCTTAGAGATACATAAACAAAAATATAGAGTAATTAAATAGTCAAAATAAAAAAAAATAATAGAAAAAATTATAAGTTACTTACTAATTTAGATCAGTTAAAAATAAAAAACAAAAAATTGAAAATAAACATGAAATAAAAATAATGAAGAACGCTCTAATAATTTATATACATATTTACAGTAGTAACTATTTACAATTTTACTTTTCTATACTATTACAATAGTAGGAAGGAATAATTGGGTAGGGAAATCTGGGAGGAAGGGATAAAAGGTTTTAACCAGGTTTCGGATATTGCTATTATGTGGTAAAAATTATCAAGGAAATGTTCCTGAAATTCATCATAGTGTGCAGTAAGGGATTGTGCATTGATGTGACAGGAATTCAGGATATTAGTCATGACTGGAGAGTTGGGAAGTAGGATTTTGGAAAAAAAAAAATGATCGAGGATGGAGGATAGGATATAGCATTTTTTAAGCATAATGTCAAGTTTAGAAATATAAAAAACAATGCTAACATAAAATAAACTTTGAGATGAAAAAAATAAATTTTCGGTGTTTCGAAATAAATATTCAGTTAAAATTAATTTATAACATAAGAAAATATAAGTTTCTCCTAGGTCTAGATAAATTGATAAAACTTGGCAAGGAATCGAATAAAGTTCTAAATAATTTATACAAAAAATAAAAGAAGCTTAAAATTAAAATAATAATATTTCTGATGAGTAAAAATTGATACTAAAAATAAAAAAAAGAAAACAAGAGAAGCTACATTTATAAAAAGATTAAGAAAGCTGGAAATGAAAAAAAAAATATAATAAATATATTTCTAGCGAGAGAAAATAAATTAATTGCAAGCTGAAGGTAACTTATATACAAAGTTCAGCTGAAAACGTCCAGATCACTTGGTTTTTCTATAATTACCACTGGATCTCCATCTGATTGTCTGCAACGAATTTTACCCTCACTGAACCAGACGTATCTTATTTTTGCTGTCAACCTCTTCTGTCTGGCTAACCAGTAAAGGTTTTTATTGGTGGGCGTCATGGCTTCACTCACGTAGACGCGGTGCGAGTCGTTCTCTCCCCAGCCTAGATGGCGCGTAGAGAAATCTCTCTTCGCTCTTCGTTGCCGCACCAGCTCATCTCCCACCGCTTGTCTGACGAATCTTACTATAATTGGACCTGGAGTTCCTTCTTGCTTGGGTCTTAGTCTCACGGCGTTACTGTCTTTAAATTGTATAAACAAGATAAAACTTAGCACATATTCACATAATTTATATCTTATAAATTATTATTCAATAATTCGTGTGAGAAGTATGTTGCTGCTTGTTTATCAATGTTTACAGTGTAATGAAATTAGGTTTTGTCATTTATTTTATTTATTTTTTTTGTCAGGAGTATTGTCTGTTTGTTTGTATAACGTTTCAGTGATTTCTCGTCATAGTTTCCAATAGTTTGGATCATGGATATTATCAAATATTTTTGTAAGCTCAAAGAATCTTTATGTTTTAAAATAAATGTTTTGTTTTATTGTTGGTTGGTATTGTTACTGTAATTCTGTTAACATATTGGCTATTTTTGTGTGTCGTGGGTAGTTTATGATTCTCATGCATATGTTTTGAATCACATCAAGTTTTCTATAGTTAGACTTACAAGTATAACTTCATATTGGGGAAGAATGTGTGATTATAGGGCGGATAACTGCTTTATATAAGATCAGTTTAGTTTTTGCTAATAATATTTTTTGCTTGATTACATTTGTTGTTTACATGCTGGGTGAAATTTAGGGCCTTATCAAGTTCAAGGCCTAAATTTTCTTGATCCTAATAAGCAGGTTTGTTTTTATTTTAAACATAAATTTTAGGAATAGATACTTTTATTTTGTCACTCACAAATACAGATCAGTTAATATTATAGAGATCTGGTTGAAAACTACAGTTTATAACCAATGTATCCGAAAAATATATGTAAAATCAGTGATTTTCAAATTATTTTTTTATACCCTCATAGCAGACTGAAATGACTAGAAACCGCCCGGCGTTTTCGACCACTGCAACACTTACTACGTTCTAAACTTTCAACTATTTACAAAAGACTCATATATATTACTATATATGGGCTATTTGGACTTACGGGATCGGGCTTTGGGGCTCTATTAAATCATAAAATTCCTCTCGTATCCAATCCTAACAATCCAAAATCCTTCGTAAAATCCTCAATGCTTAATACTTTGTCACAAATAAAATCATCCATAACGACCTTAATGTACCATATGTTTCCGATTTAGCTCAATCCAGATACCTATCCTTCCATAATAAACTTCTGAACCATCCGAACCCTCTTGCTTCTAACCTTCCTTCCTCTTCTATTCCTGATAACCCTTTGAGGCATATGAAAATAATATGGCCTTGGGACCTTCTAATATAGAAATGCAATTGGAGTGCCAGAAATGGGCAGTTTGTCTTCATGTTGTTCATGTCATGTTACTTGTTTCTTACTTACTTGTTGTATTTATCATTTAATACAGTTGTAAATTTCAATAATAATAAAATTAAAATAAAATGTGTGTTTAGCCAATTGGGTTTATTAAAATACATCCCATATCATGAAAAAATAAGAAATAAAAGCATTGCAACAATTAATTGTAGTGATTTTTGCTGAAAATAGGGATATTTCTATTTGACAGGTTAAATATATCATTTTTTTTTTCAAAACTTGAGCTGAATCTCAAATTTTTCCTTAGTAAACCTCAACTAAATTAATACAAAATTAAAGCTTATTAAACGAAGAAATTTTTGTAAATGTAGAAAAACTGTAGTGTACTTGGATGATGATAAAAAAAAAAAAAATCCGAATAATTCATTATTTTTCTAAAAACAGAACTTAGCCGTTCAAAAGTATCTTCTGTAAATGGTTTTAACAACGATAAACTCGTAAAATGTTCATTTAAAGTAAATTTCATTTGGTTCACAGTGAAACAATTTTTAATTACTTAAATTAATTTTTTCTTTAGTTATTGCTTTTGATTCAATAAAAAAACCATAAAATTTCTCCTTAAAATTGGCCCATTGCTTATTTGTAGCTCTTAACGTGTGCCATCACTTCTATAAAAATTTCTCTCTACTTACGAGACATTCTGTATATTAGTGGATTGAATAAACACACTTTATACAGTAATTTGGCGGAATTTGGAGTTCAAATTCTTTTATAATATTCACGGAATCTAACTGATTAATTTAAGATATCGAACTCAAAAAACGTTCCATCCACCCGCTCAAGAAATCGTTACATATCTAGATACATTTTAGAAAAATTTATTAAACTCATTTTTTGGGTTAGTGGTTTTTAGTTCAAACTGTTACCAAACATTCACCGGAGATCGATCAATATTTTGAGCCATCAAAGTTAAAAATCGAGATATTTTCATATATTATTATTTTTTTTTTTTTTGAGGCACCACCATCAAATTTATTGATGGACTGAAAACCTGTGCAACACAGTTGCAGGATATCACCCCACTACTCAGGCAAACTCTCATTGGTGGATGTACTCGCAAAAGGATGGGGTCTGTACCCTGCAATCCATACCCAATTACAAATATAATGACCTAAATGAAAGTTACTAGGCATCGTGTCACAAATTTCCAACGAGTTCCCACCCCGTTTCTTGTGAATATATATGTATCATAAAAAAAAAAAAACTATACTATTACAACCCATAAAGAGTCTCTAGTACTATATTAGAAAGTACCGTAACAAAGCCAATGGTTGTTAAGAAAAGATTGGGCCGAGATCATGCCCTCGTAATTAATTATATAATTAAGTGTACCAACTTTATAGAGGCTGGGTGTGCCCCAGGAGGGTCTTCCGACTCCCATCGTCGATTCACAGCTAATGAAAAATTATTAATCGAACTGAGGATCTAGAGCTCTGGAAATCAGTGTTCACCCACTGAGCTATTCCGCGCTCCCCCCCCCCCCACACACACACTCATATATATATATATATATATATTTATATATATATATATATATATATATATATATATATATATATATATATATATATATATATATATATATATATATATATATGAACATTGCATTTTACTGATACAAGGTGTCCCGTAAGTAGAGGCAAATATCCGAAAGGTTGATAGTAGACATCAATGTTTACACAAATGTTCATGTAAACAATTGCGCAATTTCCAGCAGAAAAGTAGAAAATTTAAGATTCGTATTTTTTTTTTTTTTAAACGGGTCTCTGTTTCTATCGAATAGGAAGCATTAACGTAAAAAAATAATTGATTTAAATAATTAAACATTGCTTTATAGTAAAGCAGACAAAATTTTCTTCTAGCGAAAGTAGAGTTTATCGCAGTTAATACTATTTAAAGAGGACTATTTAGCGGGCAAACGTAGCGAAATTCCGTTTAACAAAAAGTAATAAATTATATGTATGTTTTTTTAAATCACGCTTCAACTATACTACAGTATCTACAGTACTACGACTTTTAGAAAAACTTCCGCGTTTAATAAGATGTAAGTCTATAATAATCAAGTTGAGGGTTAGAAGGGAACATTTTGAGATTCTATAAAAATCTCATGATTTGTTAAGAAATGATGTGATTTTATATCATGTCACCTAAAAATCCCCATGATTTCTAGAAAAATGACTACAATTGACTGTTGCAAAGATTTTATTTCTTATTTTGCGGTGATTGTAATAAAAAAAATTGCCGAAAAACACATTTTATGTATAAAAATAATGATTTTCCAAATATTTTTCAGGTAAAGTGGTTATGAAACTGAGTTTTTTTTTTCAAAGATCTGAGTCATATTAATTGATTTGTCTTTATCAGTGACAAACTTAATGTTTCTTACTAAAATTTAACGTAAATTTTACGTTTTTACTGCGACATTAATTAACGGTTATATAAACTGAGGTGGCTTTAAACATTTTTTTAGCAACAAAATTACGTTAAACACTTTCATTAGTACAGCTGACGACCTTGACAATGCAGTCAGCGACTTAACAAAAAGTATACAAGAGGCTATTTGGCATTCCACGAGACCACCAAGGACATACACTAAACCTGCTTCTTACCTACCACAGCCAGTACATAATCTTATAAAAAAAAACGTAGGATTAGAGCCCTATGGCAAAGAACTAGATATCCATCATAAAAAACATAACTTAACAAACTAACTCGAAAAATTCACGAAAAAAGTATTAGCTGTTCTCTTTCTTATTCACATCTATAACTCAATACTATTTTACGCAATACCTATTTTGTTCTCCTATGAAAACCCTCCATAATTAAAATGATTCGTAATCCTTCAAAACCTACCATTACTCCTTCATCCTATTGTCCTATGGCACTTCTCCCAAGAATGGGATAAATATTTGAAAAACTACTACTGAACCGTCTAAAGCCTATTCTATAAAGTAGTGAACGGATACCAAATCACCAGTTTGGCTTTCGTTGTTATCACTCTTCTGTGCAACAGTGCCATCGGATAGTAGACGCTACCTCTGTTACTTTTGAGAAAAAGGAATATTGCTCTGCGGTCTTTCTCAACATAGAAAAAGCATTTGATAGTGTCTGGCACAAGGTCTTATTATGGTAATTAAAACCGCACTTACCTTCCACTTATTTTTTAATTATTCAATCCTACTTTCTTAATAGACTTTTCAGTATTTCCGTAGATTCTTCTTTTTCTTCCTTCTTCCTCGAACACATTGGTGTACCACAAGATAGCGTCTTAAGCCCAATCCTCTATTCTTTATACACTCCTCCCTGAGCACTCTAGTACCACCATTTGTTGCTTCGCTGACGACACTTCTATTCTATTTTCACACAAAAATCCTACTATTACATAAATTGCCCTTAAAAACCACCTCCATGATCTTAAAAAGAAGTTTGAAAAATAGTAAATCAAAATAAATAATAATAAATCCACCCACATTAATTTATCTCTTAGAAAAGCCTCATGTCCATCTATAAAAATTGCCAATAACCCAGTGCTCTCAAAGAACTATGTACGGTACCTTGGACTCTACTTAGACAAAAGACTTACTTGGAACATACATACCAAATTAAAAAGGCAAGACCTTACTGAACGATATAGCCAGCTCTCACGTCTTCTGGACTATAGATCTTCACTCAACTTACGAAACAAGCGACTGATCTACAACGGAATACTGCATTAGAGAATCCAGAGTTTAATTTTAGGGAGGGGGGCTTCAGCCTGAAAGATTTATTTTTTCATATATATAACGATAATTAATTTAAAAAAAAAAGGAAGAAATTAACTACCTATATGGCACGGTGTTTAAGTGATTCTTAAAGTCCTATTAAATGTAATTGCACGAGCAATAATACTTTAAGCGATAGGTTTAATATTTTTTGTATAAAACAGGGTCATATTTTAGCATTTGGGGGGAGCGGCATCAGCCCGAAAGTCCCCCTTTCCCCGTAGATCCGCATGTGCCCTACTGAGAACAATGTGGACATATGGAGCAGTACTTTGGGGTTCGGCAAAACAAACACACATAAACAGAATACAAACATCACAATCAAACATTATACGATAAATTGTTAACGCACCTTGTTACTTTTCAAGTAACACTATACATAACGACTTAAGCACCCCAACAGTAAAATCCTACATCCACGAAAAATACACTAAATATCATTCTTCAACCAAAATCAATCCGATCCTCTGATTCTTTCTATCTCCTGCTCCGCGTTACCTGAATGACGCAGATTTAAAAGAAGATGGCCAAGAGACTTACTATATCGATAAAAACAAAATCGAGCAAATGCACCAAAACAGTATAAATACAACAAATTTGCTAGATGCGCTGCCTCGCTGGTGCAAATTGCGGAATATAAAAAAATAAATAAAATAAAAATTATTATTGATTTCGAAGTAGACTAGTGTACGCTTACCTATTCAAAAGGTTGGTGCCATCTGTGATAACTTCTCCGGTGCTCGCGTCGCATTGAAACTCTTTAACGCACACACAGTACTCCTCATTGCCTGCAACAAAACAATAAAGGCTAACAAAACTACGGTTTGTGCTTTGGGAGACAAGATAGAAGTGAAAACATGATCAAGGCGAGATTAGTAATATGAAATATTTTTTTCTTATATATAATGATTAACGATTTCCAGAGACAGAATGGCTCCATGTATATACAGATGGTTCTGCACTGGAAGCACGCAAACATGCCGGAGCTGGTGTTTATTCAAAGGAGTTTCAACTTGCCACCCCGGTCGGAAAGTTAGCCACAAATTTTGAAGGGGAAGTGAAAGCTATTCTCTTAGGCCTTGAGATGTTAACTGAAAGGAAAGACAAGAAAGTGGCTTTCTTTGTTGACTCACAGGCAGCCATTTTGTCCCTAAAAATGGATATAGTATAAATCCAAATGTTCCTAAATGCCATCAATATTTGAACCGATTAAAGGAAAATGGGACAGAAGTCGCTTTCCAGTGGATACCAGGCCATTGCGGGCTCCACGGAAATGATGAAGCTGATAAACTGGCCAGAATAGGTTCTGGAATGATCCAACCCGATATTCCTCTGGCCATGGATTCAACAAAAAGAATCATAAAGCAGACCCTCCAAAGTTCACTGAAAGAGAAATATGTACAAACAATTGAAGGGAAACGATGGAGTGGATTGCTGGGAGAAAGTGGCAGGATTCCTAGAGACCTCCCTAGAGGGCAAGCCGTGGCATGCTTTAGAATGCTCACAGGCCACGATTTCCTTCAGGAGCACCTCCACCGCATCGGTGTAAAAGATAACCCGACATGCCCTCTATGTTCCTTAGACAAAATGACAGGAGAACATCTTGATACATGCCCTGCATTACAGGACATAACATGTTCCTTTAATGAAATGGACAGCTTTTATACTGCTTTTATACATACTTATATACTTTTATACAGCTTTTAGCTGTGATTTGATGGGATTTGTTGGAATTTATTTTTATTCTCCAATTTTTACACCATTCTTCAAGGCTTGTGATATATGATTGAAGAGTTTGGGATGCAATTAAAGGATCGTTATTAACAGATAGCAAACATGTGTCATCGGCGTAAGTGGTGATGACAGTGTCAGGATGGGTTGGGATGTCAGCTGTATAAACTGTGTAGAGGATGGGACCGAGGATACTACCTTGTGGAACGCCTGCAGATTGAGCAAAGAGGGATGAGAAGACATTATTTTGGTTTACTTTGAAGTATCTATCAGTAAGATAGGAGCGGATAATGAGGAAGTATGTAGAGGGTAGGACTTTTCGGAGTTTGTACAGAAGACCCGGGTACCAGACTCGATCAAACGCCTGTTCAACGTCGAGAAAGACTCCCGTGCAGTACATACCACGCTCCAATGCAGAGGAGACTACATCAACCACACGGTGACATTGTTGGATAGTGGAATGCAATGTGCGGAATCCAAATTGGTGATCAGAGATAATATGATTAGAGTCTAGGATGGGATACAGGCGTTTTAGGATGAGTTTTCCCAGGATTTTGCCCATGATAGGTAACAGAGAAATAGGACGGTAAGAGGATGGGTGTTCGGGTGGTTTTTTAGGTTTGTGTATCATTTTGACAATAGATATTTTCCAAGAATCAGGGAAATATGTGGATCGGAGCACAGCATTGTATATGTAAGTGAGGAATAGGATGGCTTTCCGAGGAAGAAGTTTTAGGATCTGGGAAGTGATAAGGTCGTGTCCAGGAGCTTTTCGGGAAGGTAATCAGTTGATGATATTAGATATTTCCAAAGGATGAAATGCTTTAGGTGGAAGAGTCATTTGGAGTGGAATATCCAGTTCTGCTTCAATACATTCAATTTGATGTGGATTAAGGATATCAGGATGTGGATTAAAGGTATGGAAGAGGTATTGACCGAATAGTTGAGATTTTTCTTCATCGGATTTGGACCAGGTTTGGGATTCAGTTAATAGTGGATGGTTAAAGTCTTTAAACTTTAGTATCTTTTTTGTGGTCGTCCATAGAGATTTGTCAGAAGTTGTAAGATTATCAGTTAGGTTAAGTAATTTTTGCGATTTGAATTTTCTAATTTCTATTTTTAGTTTGTTAGTCAATTCGTTATAGTAAGTTTTATCTGAAGGATATCTAGTCCTATGCCATTTCGATCTTGCTCTGCGTTTTTCTCTTAATAAGATTCGAATATTTAATGGCAAGTTACTATGTCGTGAGTTATTGCTTTTATTGATGGAAGTGTTATCATTTATACTAATAGCTATTGATGTAGTGAGTTTTTCTATGGATTTGTCAATATCTTGTTTTGTCTTAAGCGGAATTTCTAAGTCCAGTTTATTTTCCAAATCGTGACGAAACTTGTCCCAGTCTACTCGTCCTGTAATCAATTTCGGATGTGAGGGTTTAGGAACGAGATTTGAATGTAATAATAGCAGAACTGGACTATGATCTGATGAAAGGTCATCCAGGGATTTTATTGTGGTCAGGGAAGAGGAAATCTGAGAAGTGATAAATATATCTAGGATATCAGGACGTTTTTTAAGGGATGTTGGCCAATATGTTGGATTCATGATCGAGAGGACAGAATAACTATTAGAAGATGAGACATGAGATAGGATATTACCACGGGAATTGGATGTTCGACAACCCCATCGTTGGTGTTTAGCATTGTAGTCTCCTCCAGCAATAAAGCGTGATCCGAGTGATTGGAATAAGGAATCAAGAAGACCATGAGAAAGGGAATTTCCAGGAGGACAGTACACAGCTGATAATGTAAGATGGAAAGGGCGAGTTGATAGGATTACCGAGGTTGATTGAATGGCGTCAGTTGGGGTGGAAGGGATTAGGGAATGAGATAAGGATTTATGGATAAGGATACAAGAGCCTGCGTGGGAAGTGTTATCTGAATGGTCTGATCTGTAAGTGATGTAGTCAGTTATGTAAAAGTTTGATCGTTGTGTGAAATGAGTTTCCGTCAGGAGGGCAATGTCAATGTAATTGTCATGAAGAAATATGTCTAGTTCGTCACGGTGGTTTTGTAGTCCATTAGCGTTCCATAAGAGGATAGCTAGGGGCTTTGTGTTCATCGATGAAAATTGAATGGAATTTCGGAAAGGAATCTGGTTAGAAGGGTTATGAGTGGTTTGATAGTCTGTTGAAGGTCTATCAGGAATGCTGATAGGATAGAATTGATGTCGGATGATGTTTGGCTTTGAAGGATGTGGATTCGGATCAGGAGGAGGTTGTGGTTGGTAATTTGTGCGATTAGGGTTATTGGTAGGGGGTTAGGTCCGTTGTTGGGTACGAGGAGTTGGTTGAAATTTCTGAGGTACATATGATGGTGGCTTCATCTGGAGATTTGGATGGGATTGTGCTGGATGCGGATGCTCCGGCGGAAGTTTGACCGTTAGGGGAAGATAATGAGGGGGGATTTGTTGGCGTGGAGGTTGATGCTGAGGATTAGTGATTTTAGGTTTGGATTTTAAGGTCTGAGGCGCCTGACGTCGAGGTTGCTGCTTGATGATAGTGGTTTGGGAGTGTTGCTTGGTGGATTCTTGTTGAGGAAGGTCCGTTGATACAGTGGTCGATGGCCGTTGTTGGACGATTTGCGGTGTTGACCGCAGTACTGGGAAAACATCCAAATTTTCAATTTCAGGCGGTTCTGTGTTACTTTTCTGAACAAGGTTCTGGCTTCTTACTGCTATATTATGGGATCTTTGCTTGTGGAGACTTTTATAAACCTCACAACCTCTATAGCTCGCAGGGTGGGCTTCACCACAAAGAGCACATATCGCAGGTTCGTGCCTTGGTTTGTGACAAGTGTCTGATGCGTGTGAACCTGCACATTTCACACATCTGGCCTCGTGAAAGCAGTAGGCTTTGGTATGTCCCAGATTTTGACAGTTTGTGCACTGCACTACTATGGGCTTCTGTCTAGGTTCCTCAAAACGGACTGTTGAGTATACTAATCTCGTTACCTGAAATATTTCGGAATTGTTTTTTGCTGGTTCCAGATCCACGAAAAATAGTGGTAACGGATATTTTTCCCTAGGATGTAATACGGGTGAAATATTTCTGAAGCTGTGGCCTATTTCTTCCAATCCGATTTTAATAGCGTTTGTGGTGGTACTTGAATGCAGACCTCTCAAGATTACTCTAGACGCTTTTTCCTGTCTGAGTTGATAGCAGTGGAATTGATATTTTCTTGATGTAAAATACTCGATGAGTTTTTTATAGTTTTCTTTAGAGTTAGTGTTAATTTTTATATCATTAACTCTTGAATAACATCGAAAATTAGGCTGTCCTATCAAGTCAGCAATTTCTTGCCCGAAGGACATAAAATTTTCAATTTTTGATACAAAAATAGGTGGTGGTTCTGGATCCGAAAATGTTTTTGGCTCCTGAGTTTTATTTGATGAAATATTGGTAGTAACAGAATCACTGATTGAGGTGGATGGTGGAACTGTTTCTAATTTGTTGGCTGCAGTGGTTTTACTGCGGGTGTTTTGTGTAGATTTGCTATTTTCAGATATTTTTTTTGATTTGGTAGCTTTATTTTTTTTCTTAGTAGGTGAATTACCCGCCGATCCAGGGGCAGAATTTCTATTGCGCTTTTGGAGTGTTCTTCTTTTTAAATATTGCGAATCTGTCTCGCTTATTTCGGAAAATGGTGTCTCTTCCTCCGATTCATCACCCGACGTATTAACAAGATCCATGATAACAAAATAATTAAAAGTCTATAAAAGTTATAATGGAATTAAAATGGAAATAAAAGAAATTAATTCTTAAAACTAAGCTATAGTGTGAATGTCATCCTACCTCACTATAACCAATGTCCAACAAACAGATTGTTATAATACTCAATAAAGAAATTTAAAAAAAAAAACCTGTAAGTTATTTACAAAAATATTTACAGGTAAAATAAAACATTTCTCAATGTACATAAATAAATGAAACTAAAAGTCTCAAATAAAAATAATTGAAAAAAAAAAAAAAAGTTCTTAGATACGAACTCGATATCACTC